ATTCCTGCTATGCTATAATTTATGACAAAATTAGCTTTGACAGCTCCTCTCTTAGCTATGTTGCCCTTGAAGGAGTATTTTACAGTGGCTTTTGTGGGTTCTGGGTTTCAGTCACTCAGCTTCTGACCTCAGAGTAATGAAGTTCCCTTCTAGCTGCGATGCATTGCAGCTGCACGCAGGAGGAGACAATACAGGAAGTGAATTCTTACAAGGCAGAGAGATTACGGAGAGTCCCATGAAGGGAACATGTCCCCTACTGAGGGAACATGTTCTAGTAACGGAACATTATCATTTATTCTTACTTGTTTAAAACTGATATTAAAAGAACAGTATTAGAGTTACCCAAGTTCTTACAAAAAGGAAACTGAATCTGCTAATTACCCACCCTCCCTGCACAATAGTGTTATGCTGCAATGCTATAAAATATGGCAAGAGAATTAGAGTACATGGGAGGAGGGTTTAGCAAGATGCTGTACATTGCCTGATCTTTAGAATCAGAATTAGAATCTTGTTTCAACATGAAAAGATGATGTTCCCTTCCCTACTTCTACTTCTTCCCCTTTAGCCCTACACTCTCCCAGTGAGTCGTATTGCTACCCTGTGCCTGACCCCAGCGCCGGTGAGAACTAGGAAATCTTCTATGGGCTTTTCTTTTAAAGTACAAAACAAGTACTAACTGTAAGATGGATGATATTTTTCTGTTTCTGTTTACAAGGCAGATGATCAAGACAAGCCTCTCATGCCTAACTCGTACCTTGTTCTTCATAATGGGTTTCCAAGTTAAAGTAAAAGGGAAAGTAGCAAGTCTGCTGGAAGCCCCAATCTTTGTTGCAGCTCCCCATTCAAGCTTTTTTGATGCCATTATTTCTGCCCTAACTGGAATGCCATCAGTAGTGTCTAGAGCAGAGAACCTGTCAACTCCGGTATTTGGCAGTAAGTATTTATGAAAAAATAAAATGTTAGAAGTCAGCAATTTGACAGGAGGCCAAAAAACTTACCTCTGAAAGTGATTTAGGGGAAGACATTTTTAGATCCTTAGGTTCCAAAGATATTGACAGATTATTTCCACTGAAATCCCTGTGACAAATTATCTTTCAAATAAATTGGTCAAAATGTTTAAAAATGTGCTGGTTTTTTTCAGATGTAAAATATCACTTCAAATTTGCTTTATACTGAAAGTATGTTTTGTAACTGCTCAGGCTAGAAGCTTTCTCTTAACATTCTCCCTGTAGGTAGCTTGAGAAATCTGTTCTATTGCTGTCTTTTAACAGTGTGGCCCACAAATGGAGAACATGGATTAGTGAAGGTTATTTCAAAAGAGACCCAACTACAGCAGTCCAAAAAATACCATATTTATAAGTTTAAACTTGCAGGCACTGTTACAGATTTTTTTTTAATGGGAGTCAAACCGGGAAAGAATAAAAGAGAAGTTACTGAAAAAGGAAATGCAGAGAATGGAAAAGATCAGATGACTCATGCTTCTATTATTTTCTCCTCCTTTTGGCACAAAAATAATCCCCATTTGCATACTGCTAGAATCAGCTGTAGACTTTCTGCTGGCTGTACAGTAACCCAAAACTAAACTCAGTAGGCAACATAGAAAAGTGTCTTTGTAGGAAACAAACTGGTAATATATTGATCTCTTAAAAGCACAGGAGTGAGAAATAGAAGATAATTCTTCCCCAAGTTTCTCATCACATCTTAATAGTTCCACACATTCTGATGTAGACTTCTAATTAAATGGGGGGGGTGTCTGTAATTTATACAGAAACTGTGCATCCTTTGTAACTGAAAAGGGACGTCTCTGTCTTCTTCAGCATAGACTCCAACTACCTGTTGGTTGCAGTCTGCATATGAGTTAGGCCTGAATGTGGCCCAAGAGCAGAGACCCCATCAGGTCTCTTCCTTAGAATTGTGTGGAAATGATCAGTGAAAAATAACAGCAATATTAATAGAATGTGTTTGCGTGAATTTGGCACGTTTATACCTACTGTAAAGCTCCTCAGCTGGCAGTGTAGGTATGTCTTCTATGTCCTCCTGTTTTGCAGAATGAGGACAATAACAACACTCTTCTTATCTATTTAGTCTGAAAGCTGTTTGTGCAGAGTCTGTCTCCTAGTATGAGAATAACAAGTTTTTGCTACAAGACAGCCTTGAACTCATGTGTTTTCTAAGCACTCGTATCAGACAAATAAAAATTTGTATCTCTTTCACAGCAATTTTAAGTTCCCTTCAGCCTGTATCAGTTTCTCGTCAAGACCCTGATTCACGAAAGAATACGGTCACCGAGATAACTAAGCGAGCATTATCAAGAGGCCAGTGGCCACAGGTAATAAATATAGTACTACTCATTCATATTCCATATTCACTGTGCATCATAATATCACAAGTGCCCAGCTGAACTGGATTCTGTTGAGGTACGAAGATGAAGTCAGCTGTCAGGTATGTGACTGGTTTAGAAAAGGAAGATAAGAGGCTGGTGCCCAGAAAGAGTTTTCTTGTGACAAATGTGTCAGTTAAAATGCAGCCAGTACCAATTGCTGTTCCAAATGCAGATGCTCTTGACTTTTTCTTTTCCCTATTCAACTCGTAACGTGCTGTCTTCAATGTAGCAGATGATTTGCGTTGGTATATGTGGGTCAGTATTCTCAAGCTAGCTCATGCCCGAGAAGCTATGTTGCAAAGCTGTGCGCACAACAGTTAGGGGATGAGCAGTTGATGAGATGGGTAACCCAGGCTGTCCAAGCTCCCATGAACAGTACTTAAGCTTAAAACATCAATTTCATATGTGGAGAATAGCTGAGGTGAAGCTTAGTTCACTCTTTAGGTTAATAATGCATTAAACCCAAGACTTTTAGGTTGGTCTGAATTGTAGAAAGATTTTAACATGGACGCAAGTGTTACTGATGTGCACAGTGTTCCCCATGGTCATTCCCCAGCAGCAAGTGGCTGTTGCGCTTCTAGGCTTTGGTTGGCTTTCCATCCTGAAGAGCTAATGGGGCAGGGGTTGCTCAGGAGGGAGAAAAGTGTTGAGGGAGCAACTCGGCTGCTTTTACGACAGGCAGAGAGCCAGGATGGAAATCTGCATCCTTTGCAAGACAGACAGACGTGGAACAGTTGCGAACCTACTGACATCTCATTTGGCAGTGGCTCTCTCCTTTCTTCTGTTGCATTGACTCTGGTCTCCTGTCACCTTCAGATACTATCAATACAGTATCATCGCTGTGCTGCTGGACAAATACAGTCAGTGATGCAAGACCTTTCTCCAAAGATATCCTGTGCGGATTTGTGTATAAACTCATGCTTTGTGTTTTTAATTAGTTCTTGACTTGTTTTCTTAGGGGTTAATTTACTCAAAAACTCAAAGAAGTTCGATAGCTAAAGTCACAAGATCTCTTTAGTTGTAGTTGGATACCTCCTAAATGACTGAGAAAAGTTAACTTTTCCCTTCATTTTTGTGCCAGTAATGGCTCTTGAGGAAAATTTAAAAAGGCAAGTGAAAACACAGACTTCAGAAGCAGGTACCTCTGTGACAGCTAGACCTGAATGCACTGCTCTACTTCCTGAGTAGTCTCTAGAAACAGAGAACATTCAAGTAGGGAAGACTGACACTTGCCACTTTTTTGAAATAGCATTATCTAGACATTTCATGCATCATTTTTACTTAGCAAGCACCTTACAAAAAGCTTTTAGTTAGTGTTTAGATTACTTTGACTCATAAATGCATTTTTGTAAGCTGCTGTAAATATTTTTAGAGCCTCCATTATTTTTTTCAATTTGTCAGTTACATGAAAACTGTTACGGACGAAGTGATTTCAGCAAAGCCCTGATAGACCTAATCTCTGCTGAAAACAGCATGGGGAGGAAAGGGGAACTGGCTCTACACCTATCCTGCACTTGGGATAAGAACTAGATATGTATTATGGCATAAATAGTTTATGAGTGAAGTAGTCTGGGTATCTCCAAGACTGAGTCAGCAGTACAACTGTGGGTGTCGCTGGGTGATTCCTAGTCCTGTGCCCTGGCCACACCTTCCTCCTACCCTTTTATTTTTTTTGAGAAACTTGACCACAAGATGATGTCTGTCATATCCTCTTCAGAGTGCCTGGGCTGCATTCTCTTAGCACAATAGAAAAGAAAGAGTAGCTGGATTCCCCATTCCCTCCTCCCTAAAACCAAAACACAACAGGCAGAGCAACACGTGCACTTATTAATAGCGTGACGTTCTGATTAGTGCTTCTCCCAACTCTGTACCAAAACAAAGGGGAAGCAGGAAATGATTACTTAGTCTTTGGTCAGTCACTAACATGTTTTCTGAGGTTTATGACATATGCTAAGCAGAGACATACCCATTTTTGTGTGCATAGCACCAGCGAACACTTTCTGATTACAGAATGCGTAACTGTAAATCGGTATGTGAAGCTATCATGCCTTAGAACGGCCTGTGTCTGTTGGGTGTGACATAATGATGCTGTCTTTCATCTAGCCTTGACCTGTTCATTCAGATTGAAGTGGGAGTACACCTTGAACACTCTTGATCCAGACCAGTTCTCGTGCTGAGGTTTTTTTGGAATGCTGCTTATGATCCTATAGTGATGTAAGAAACACAAAGCTTCCTTATATTCCAAAGGGGGCTGGATTCAGTGTGTCACATTGCAGGTGACTGTGCATCTAATCTAGTTATCTTTCAGCCACTAATTCAGAAACCTTCTGGGTATTTGGCGTGTCTGAGTCATTCAGGTTCAGAGGCTATGTAGTTGCGTGTAATGCCTTCAGAGCTCTGCATCACAGATGCACATGCTCTTTCTGCCTTTTGCTGCTACCCCTCAAGCTGTGATCTTCTCATCACAGCTGGCATTTTGACTCACGTTGATAGCATCTGTGCCTGTAAACGCTCAAGTACCTTATGCACTTCATGTCAGCCCAGACTCTTGATGTTTATACACCCAGCAGTTCAATAAGGAGCTGCCGGCAGAGGAACAATTCTCATATCATTACCAACACTAAACATTTCAAGTGAAACACTCAAAGCCTTTTTTATTGTATTTCTGAACGGATAAAGGCCTTTCCCCAGAATTCCTCTCTTACAAAGCACTTGTTCCCAAATCAAGATGGATCAGGTTAATATTACTGTGAGCATCCTTCACTTAATTGTTCATTTCCTTTTGAAATAGTAACAGTATTCTTGTGATGCAATGTAACATGTCACAGAGCTTGCATAAAAAGTCAGCCTTTTTGTAACTCATGCTGAAGTATAATCTTTGTATGAAATGTGTGTGTATATATGTACTTCTTTCTCTTTAAATCCAAGATACTGATTTTCCCAGAAGGCACCTGCACAAACCGATCTTGCCTGATCACATTTAAACAAGGTGAGAGATTTTGTCACATCGTTGTTGGAAAATAACGTGTGAAATATTAATTTGGTTGTACTAATAAGGTCTGTAACTTCTGCAGGTACATCATCCACAACAGCACTGTAGTAGTGTCTTACATCAGTAAAGTGTCAGTGGCTTTAAACCCACTACTTTATACTAGTCAGTTTACTTTTCTGACTTACAGTATTTTGTAGGATGCAAAATACCTATGATGTATACCATTAATTGGTTGGGGTTTTTTCTGGGTACAGTTTTCATATAATTTATTTACCCCGAAACTTGACTGCGATTATTATGAGATGAACTACCAAAACGGATGCTACTTACGATGTTCTTTTAGCTCAGCTTACGGTCGTGTGGTCTTAGATTCTTGTCAATTTTGCCATGCAAGACTTAGCAACCAAGTTACAAAACCTCTTCGCATAGTGCTTAGCAAGGCAGGCCAATAGATTATTTTTAACACAGAAAGGTACTTGATAGCATCATTGATCATTAGATTGTTGTGCTGCACTTCAGTTAAAGCCATGTTGCTCTAGTTTCTTACTGTTGTACAGCAATTTGGTACAAAGTTACAAAACCAGTACTATATGCGTATCGCTTATGAAGATGATCAGAACAGAGAAACGTTCAGGAAATGCTCGACAGCTTTGTGAGCATCTAATCCTTTGAAATGAATGCCAATCAATGGGGAGATAATAAATAGAAAATGAGTTTGAACAGTCCAGGAATCTTAGGCAGCTTTCTCCTCCTTGAAATGGAGACTAACCCTTTTCCGTCTGACAACTTCCTAGCTGCACTGCTGATTTAAAAAAAAAAAAAACCACAACAAAAAAACCCCACAAAAAAACTAAAAAACAAACACCCAAAAAAAACCCACAACAAAAAGAACACTTCCCACTGTTCTTGTCTTTTTAAAAATTCCTCCTTCCAGATACCATGTCTTACATGAAATACTTAGAACTCCCAACCACTCCATTAAGCTTAGCCTTAACGATCAATTCTGATTTGTGGTTGCAGGTGCCTTTCTTCCACGAGTCCCTGTACAACCTGTGTTGCTCCGATACCCCAACAAGCTGGTAAGCAGAACATTCTTCTGTCACTAACTAGTAATACGGAAGTCAAAATCCTGACTTAAATGGTACCTACGATAAATATTTTGCATTGTCACTGAAGAGTCTATTGTCCTGAGCTTTAGCATTGGAGAGCTCCTGGAAGCAGCCGGACTTTCCAAGTGTCGCTATGGTGTAGTTGCTATTCTGATTGTGAAAAACTTACTGCTGGGCTTCTTAGCTATAGTTAAAGTAAGAGGGAGCATGGGAAAGTATTGCAGCGGAAGTTAGAAACTTCCTGCAAAGCCACAGAGCCTGTACTTTGAAGTCTAAAATGCACCCAACTTCCCTTCTAGTCCTTTTTTGTTTAAACTCAAAATACTCTTACTGCAAAGGGGCTTGCAAAGTTTCTGAACGAAAGCAAAGCTGAGCCATGCAGTACCTCTGACACCCTCCCCTTCAGGCACCTCAGGAGGGCAGCTTTGCAGATGGTTCTTTTCATGCAACATGCCCTTGTTTTGCCAAGTAACTGTTTACACTTTCTGCCAAGAATAGGGGTAGAGACATATGGCTCTGCCTCACTGACAGGTGTAATGCTGGGACATGAGCCCAGCAACTTGTTCACTTTTTTAAATTATCTGGTCATCTAACAAATCCAGAAAAGACCAAACTTTTCATTCCTAATAGTTTTTAAGATGAAAAACAAGTAATTGTTATTGTTGTTATTTACAAGGATTCCTTTGTAAAGTCTTTTTATAGATCAATTTCAAAACAATGAAGTGAACCACTAAAACGGATTGGTATTGCATTTCCCTGAAAGGATTTAAGGATCTGCAGTATACATTGTGAAAATTTTATACAGGAAGTAATAAACATAAAATAAGAAAAAAGCAAAGCAAAAAAAAAAAAAAAGCAAAGAAAAAGCATGATAGATGACCTATGCAGAAATATCCTTAAATCTAAATCAAATATATTTATGAGGGTGCTTTTCTAAAGGGACTGGTAAAGTCCTGTAGGAGAGTCTTACTAGATTTTTTTTTTCCCTACTTCTATTGTTTGGATCAGAATGAATGATTTTAAATATCTAAGTAACTACACAAATTTTCTTCCTAATTGTTGATATTATCAAAAGTCTGCCATGCTCATTTCCAAATTTTTTAAGGCAAGGAATCCTAGTCGCCTTGACACCTTTATGTATTTTTCACTACAGGACTATAATCCCATCATCTGCTTTTACTAAACTGGTGCCTGTTTTATATTGTAACTTATCTGCTCTCTAACTTTCATCTGGTTTTGTCATACATTTCTGTGTTTTATTTTTTTCCTTAGGATACTGTGACCTGGACATGGCAGGGCTATTCACTGTAAGTTTCTTAATTCTACTGAAAATTACATATAGAATTTTTTCCCCATTGCTAAACTGTCTGCCAAACAGATTCAGCTAAGCCAAGACATGTGTTCTTCTAGATCTGTTTTTATGAGAGGGAAATGCTTGGGGAAGATTGAAAAGGAGCTATGTCATTTGAGAGATGGTGTAGGAATAGGTGAAGAAAGAAATGTGGAAGGGAGGAGGCTGCCCATTCACTAAAACTTGAGAACAGCTCTAAGCCTGGTGGATGAATGATGAAGGCTCAAATCCAAACCTGTGAGAAGATGAAAGGAACAGCTTGGCAAAATCACAAGAAAAGACAGGATGAATGGGGTAGAATCTAGAGATTCTTAACAAAAGTAACTGGAACCGGGAGAAGAACATCCCCCACGCAAACCTGCAGATCACAAAATACGGAACTGTCATGTTCTTTGTAAAACTTCCTGGATATTGTGGCCAGGACAGGACAGTACCAGTCTCCTTCTCAGAAACCTCCTGACCCAGGTTCTGCTTTCACTTACTACTTCTTTCTTACATTAGTACGTTATTGGGAGGAATGCCTAATATTATGTGTTAGTAAGAGTGGATTCCTGGAGAGAGTAGAAAGGATCCCTTAGTTGTTCTGGCTTTTCCTTTTCTCTTTTTTATTTCATCCAAAACAAGAACAGATGAAAGATTGCTTGAAGGTTTGCTGTTATCATTTACCTGATTTAAAGTAAAGAGCAAATGTGCATTTCTGCTTAAAAATCACAGTGAAAAGAACAAGTCAGAAGTGGAAGTGATCATTCTCTTTCGCAGTTTCTTCCTCCCCCTACCTGTTGATACTAAAATTTGTGACTTTTTTTAAAAGCACTGAAGATCTTGAACATACTGACACTTCATGAACACACTTGTGTAAACACTACTATAATTTGCAAAATGGCTAGCAAATACTAACAAATCCTTGCTTCAGTTCTGCAGAAGGAAGTTACTGGTCCTATTTTGCAGATGAGAGGATGAAAGATAAAAGTTAAAGCTACTTCTCAGAATCAAAGCTCTTAAAGCTTTAAAACCCCATATGTATTCACCTCTTTAAAGATAAAGTAACATATACACATTTTGCTGGCCAAAGAAGTGTAGAATATTGTTAATATGCATGACAACAAGTTGCCTGCCCCATGAGCAAGCAGCAGGTAGATGTAGAAGCCCCATAGAAAAAATGTCGAAAGCAACATTTCAGGGAGCTTCATTGCAAGGTACTTAAAAACTTTACCAGTATTGGCTGGTTTTTTGTCAATGCTTTACGAAATTTTATCTACTGACATGCACGTACTTTGTTTTTTAAATAAGTGTATTTTTCTTCCTCTTTCTTCCTTGCCTGCAGAAAAGAGCTGTGTGTAATGACGCTGTGTCAGCTGTTCACAAGAGTAGAAGTTGAGGTAAGAATTAGAAATATTTTTGTACTAAGGTTCAGCAACCAGAGAATTTATTCTTTAATATAAATGCATAATTCACATTATTAATCACTGGTAGTGAACAATACACAAATGTCTCAGAAACAAGAACAGAATCGTGGTGAATAATATATTTAGATTTGTTGTCAGTATCTGTGTACCACAATCTGATGAATCTTTCCTAAAAGAAAGCTGTCAGAAATGTCTTTATTTTTAAAGCATTGTAAAATCATTGCTCATTATGACCACCCACATTTTACAGATGTTTAAACTAAGAATTACAATACGTTCTGTTAAAGGTAACAATTTCTCTCTTTTTCCCACTTTCTCATTTCCCTGCTCCCTTCAAAGTATCCTTGTCTTCCTCGTCATCTTCCCAGACTGAACTCTAAAAGGTTTCTGCAACTAAGAGCTTACTTAAGGACTCTAGTACCTGCACTGGGGAGAAAGCCCAGCCTTGTGTATAATGAACCTGTTCCCTTCATCATTAAAATCAGCTGCACAGCACTAAGACAGATGAATGACAACTGAAACAGCATACACACTTCATAATATCAGTACACTTACTGCTCCCTGTTTAAGAGTCAACATTCAAAACATAGTAGTGACGAGCCAGATAACTAAGGTACCATCAGTTTGTTTAAGTGTTATACTTTACGTTCCCTACCAGACCACAAAGGATTGTCAGTGTGGACTAAATTGGTTTAGGGACCTGAGGAATGCCAGAAATTCACACAGGTTTTGCTGTGTGTTTCCAAAACACAGAATTCAGCAAAGTTGTGCAAAGCTTTGTGAATACAAGCAGTGTTGCTACTAACAATTGGCAATATGGTCTTTGTTGTGAAACAATAAGATTCATTTTAAGGGAACACCTTGTTGCTTATAGTACATGCAGTAGGCACGTATTTAGAGAAGGTGTACTAATTCTCCTAATGACTTTGTACAGAAGGACATATCTATGTAACTTCTGCCCGCAGGAGCAAGAAATAATTAACATAGCCCTTTGAGTAGAAGCTTTATTTTCCCCTACTTCAGAACAGAACTCAAACTTGCCTGTTAGAAAATAAATTTCATGTTCTAAAAGATTAAACTGATACAAGGCAAAATGTGCAGCTTTCACAGAGCATGTGTCCCCAAAGTGGAACTAATTTCTTAGCATCAATGCCAAAGTCCTTCCATTTCTGAAAAGAAGGGGCAGATTTGCCTGGGGAAGGAGGGAATCAGACCACTTCTTTTAGGAGTGAACATTTCTGTTGCTGTCCCATACTGTGAGCAAGTAACCTCTCCACTCTTGTCAGTCTTGCACTACCTCTACCTGCATACCCTTGTAGTCCAAGGGAGTATGTGCATGCATGTCTAGTCATATTCTAACAAACTATAGGTATTGACGATTAAACAGTGAACCTGACAGTGAGTTTTAGGGTTGCAAAAGATACAGCATTTGGCAAATTCTGTAAGAAGAGAGACTAGGTCAAAAGCAGATCAGAGAAGTGGTTTTGCAACTGAAAGAGCTGTGAAGAATTTTTCTTACAGGACTGCAATTTGACAAGGAAGGTATACTCATTAGTCTTTACCAGATAAGCAGCAGGGTGTGTGTGAGATCATCCATGCCACCTCAGGAGGCCAAGAAACCAAATCCTTCGTCCCCAGCTGTGGTTTCTGGCAAACTGGTTTTACAAATAATTGAAGGTGGGTTTTATGAAGGGGATGGAGGTGTTGTTTAACTTACCAGAAATTTAGGTTGCTCTCTGAGCTATACCTCAGCCTCAAATGATATAATGACCACTTTCAAGACCATGACCTGTGTTTGCATAGATAAGCTTTGCAGAGTTATGACTCAAGATGACACAGTTCTCCGTTTCTGTGTGCCTGTGCTTCCTCAATTTAAGAGTTATGTGACTTTTGAAGGGGAGTTGTAATAAGCAGGGATACAGGTCAGACTTGAACAGAGCTGGCAACTGCTTATGGAAGGAATGAAATCTCAAACCTTCATGGGAACAGCTGGACCCCTGCCGTCCTTACAGGGGAGAAAACTTACAGCTATAAGCAGAAAATTATTATGGCTATTTGACAGATAACCAATTCCATAAACCTACTGTTTTTAATCATGAAGGGGCAGCATTCCTTAGAAACAAACCTAAAAAGGCTATTCGGGATGGACTGCATTTATATGAGACAGTTACCACTGTATTAGTGCAGCACCAGCAACCGCCGTACATTGACACGTAATTAGCAACTGTGTCTTCCAAAGAACCATGAGAAACACCTCATACTTACTCTAGAATTCCTGAATTCTAGGTTTTAAGGGCAAGATTGCAGGGTGGGGAGTAGCAGAATTGAGATAAATGATAACTATAGCTCAGAAAAGGTATGGTAAACAGAGCTGCAAGCAAACACTGTAGACTGAGGTAGAAAGAACAGAATAGTCCTCCACACACACACTACTTTGCAAACAAACAGATGCTGATGCATGCCATGTTAGATAATTCATCTATAGTACAGTTTTAGTGTAATGCTACTTCAACTTCTTACATATTAACATTGAATATATCCTCAACAGTAAATGTGTTGCAGTTTAGCTATCTGGGTTGTTTTCTAGGTTTGGGAGGAGAGGGGGTAGTTTTCTTCAGATTTTTTACTCTCTGCTTAGAGTTCCAAGATTTTACAGTATTTGTATCCTGTTAGTGCTCTACTTACAATTCAGAACTAAGATACCTTAACATTTTTATCATGGAGGAGAAACTTACAGAAAACATATCGGTCACATGCTGACAGATACAATTAACAGGTACGAGGTGGGACTGCAGTGTGTTATTTAAAACCATTATAAATCTTTCATACGCTATTCCAGTATATAACAGCACTTACAAAGGATCTTTGAAAAGGTGTGTACTCACCTTTCAGACTCACATTCTTACCTATGCAGCATTTAATTTTCTAACTAAGTATGCATTTTTTATACTTTCCTTCATTGGGGGTTTGGTTTTTCATATTCAAGCAGCTACTACCAATCTTTAAGAAGTAGTTTTGGCCTAAATCGCATTTGTGTGGCTAGGGCAGAAGAGCAGGAGTGGTTTCTAAGGCAGTTGAGACCTCTAGTGTCCAGTTCCTTCATTGCACGGCTAATTTTTTTCTCCTGTTTTTCCTCCAATCCAAATAATAACAAGAAATTGTTCATGTTGCTAGTAAAGTGGTGGCTATTGAATTGATTGGATAACTCATCTCTTTCAGTTTCTACCTGTTCACGTTCCTACTGAGGAAGAAAAGAATGATCCCATTCTTTTTGCCAACAGAGTCCGACAAACCATGGCAACGTATGTAATCAGCCATGAATAAAACCTTCGAGAACTTTTCCTTTATATCTAGCAATTCCATATATATCCTAGCCATAAAGTACAATTTAGTCAAGTCCTGGGTATTGCTCTAGATTTTCACTAAGAGGTGTCAAATTCCTATACTAAAACACCCTGATCGTTTTTACATGGAGCATAAAGAAGGTTGTCTTACATTGGAACATGCAATGTTCAATTCATGCAAAGCTGCACTAAATCGCTCCCTTATTTGCTTGGCAAAAATAAGGGCGTGCTTTGTTCTCCAAGGTTACTGGGCTGCAAACATCATGACACTGCCATAATGCAGTTTCACAGTATGGTTTCACAAACTAGTATGTATTGCTTTATCCTACTTGCAGCAGTGCAAGAATGAATTATCGTTTGTTTTGTATATTAGCAGTAAAGCCTAACTGAGACAGAGATGGGAAACAGTCAACTAAAAGTGATTTTAATATAAGAAACTGATTTTTCTTTTTCCTTAATTTTGTTTCAGTGCTTTGAATGTGCCAGTCACTGATCACACTTTTGAAGATTGCAGACTGATGATTTCAGCGGGACAGCTGACTTTACCCATGGAAGCTGGGCTGGTGGAGTTCACCAAAATTAGCAAGAAACTCAAGTAAGGGAAGTTTAGCTGTTGGTAGCATAATTACTACAGTGCCACAGGTGTTGATGGGCATCTACAAAAGGATAAATTACCTGACAACTGACTTGGCCATGTGTAATATAGTGCATTTATGTATACAACTTGCATACATAAACTATTTGGAAATCAGAGATTATGAAAACCCCAGTAAGAATTAATCCCAAGTAGTTTTTGTGGGCAGTGTTACAGGAGGAAAAAAATCTGTTTTTCTAATCTTTTATGGATTTATCTCACCAAAAGGTGAGGAAGGTAGAGCAGTAGCTATTTTAGGCACTCAATGATAATCTTGGTGCCCAATTTAAATTGCTTTGGTGGAGATGCAAGGGCAGTGTGTTGTAGGAAGTAAAAAAACCTTTCCAGCCTGAGACTTCGGCCCGTGGTTTACAGTTCTTAGTTGTGCTGTGCAGCTATGTGTCACAAGCGGTGTCGACTTTTTCTGTCTGGATACAATGGAATTTGAGGACTGAACCACTTAATCATACAGTTAACTCCATCAAATAACTTGGCATGGCTGTGGTCAAATCTGAAGTGAATTTTCATTTATTACTTATATGCTCCGTATCCATTTATAGAACTCTGTCTGGAACAATCTTCAATAGTTACATGGCAATCCTAATTATTTTTACTGAGGTGCAGTGGTGTATTTCTGCAGAGAGATCAGATACTTCTCAGTCTGTAGCAATACTAGCATTTGGGTAGAGAGCTAACAGACCTGAGATCTGTTCCCTTCTGTTAAGGAAATACTCACCCTAGAGCATGATGCAACAAATGCTGCACCTGAATTTATGAAAAGCTCTCTGCTAGACTAGCCTAGTGACTGGACAGATGACCATCTAGTTTTGGGAAGTTACTCTAAGGATGTGTGATATACTCAAGCATGGAACTGCCTGCTTTTAATATTAATAACTGGGGGGGAAACAGTCCTTAATTGCTGATTTCATATAAAATACCAGGTTGGAAGTACAGCGTTTTTAATGCTGTACACACATGCTCTGTTTGGCTGTTTTTCATCTTTAAACACTGTAATAACTCCTCCTGAAATTCCATCTGTCCAAGATCTGCTGTATAGAAATATCTCCTCTCCCTCATGTTTGCATAGCCTAAAATGGAATCATGTCAGAGAGCAGCTGGATACCTTTGCTGCTATTGCAAGTGCTTCCAAAGGGGGAAGAATTGGAATTGAGGAGTTTGCGGAGTACTTGAAGCTGCCTATTTCAGATGTCCTCAAAGAGCTGTTTCTACTCTTTGACAGGGTGAGTAGTTGGTCGACTGACTTGTTGACAATGTTTTGTTAAAAATCATACCCCAAAAAGATATTTAATTCATTACGTCCAGCTTAGTAAATATTTCTTGGTTAGCAATTCTTGTAGGCAAGTAGGCAAGATAGGTGACTTACAGTTTCCTTCTTAAGTTTTGATGGAAAAAGGTTGGTCAGTTCGTAGCTTGTGAGATGACAGCCATCTCTTGGACCAGGTTGCTGCACCACCATCAGATGATAGTCTTCATGTTGGCAATGCCTGAATATTTCCTTCTGCCTACCCCAGATTTTAAGCTTATGTACACTCTGACAGCTTAATTAACCGATGTAGTTGTAAGTAGATAATTTAAGGCAGATCGAGGCTAACTAGAGTGCACGTTCCTGCTGTGTTTGTGAAGGGTGCTATTAGACATTCTAAGGACCTCTCTTGCCTCTCTCCAGCCATAAAGGAGGCTAAGTGTTAACCTGATCTTTTAGGCTTTCCCCCAGAGTCAGTGGTGATCTCTCCCATTTTCTACTTCTCTGAAGATGAGAAAAATTGCTCTATGGATGCGCCCCTCTGACTATACCAGAAGCATCAGTGACTAGAGCATGGCATAGAATTCATCTTACTTCTAGGCATCCAATATGTGCTACGCTGCAAGCAGCATGTTGTACTGCAAGTGCTTATGAACTGGAGTTTGTTTCTTATCGTAGGAGCTCTCTCAACTCAGCATCACTCTTCCTGATCAAGTTAGCTTTAGCAGTACACCTGTCCTTGGGAGATCATTGTGTATATGCCGATTAAAACCATTTCAGGATTTTTTCAGATAAAAAGGTTTTACAAGCTCAAAGAGAAGAGTCAAATATATTTCCTTAATTGCTGAATGCATTGAAGCTCTTGCAGAGCTAGGTACTCATCCTTTCTTCATTCTTGCCTCCCCATGTTGGACCATTGGCTCCTATGAACACATAGTCCAAGTCCTGACGCAGAAGTACATACAATAGAAATACAGCATGGCAACCAAAATAATTGAGGGCAATCAAGACTCCTTTCATTTTCCCTATCTGGCACAACAGCATCAGTGACTAGAATTAGCAACGTAAAGCTCAATTCACTAAAAACTTGAAGGCATAAAAGATTGCAAGGACAAGATTCTAGTAAGGTTTTGCTTAAGGAGATCAGCTTAACTGAGGAACAGTCACACTAATGCAGCAGGGATCTTTTCAAATTGCTTTATTATGAGCACAGGCATTTTGAGACTTCTGCTCTACGGCTTTCAGCCTCATCGTTGTTTTTTTTTTTCTAAAAAGATTCCTCAAATCACATGAAGCTAACTATGCAGAGAAGAAAAAAAGAAATAGAGGCGTATCAACAATTGGCAGAAACTACTGAGACCTGAGATAACTCTGGCAGCTGGAGACGTGCACAGACATGGTGAAGTCTAAGCATGCAGATAAGTTGTGTTCTGCCCACGCCCAGCTCAGACACAATACAGCTTCGGAGAGTTGCAGAAGCACTGGATCTCTGGGAAGCTCCCTTCAAAAAATCTTCGCTATGTTCCTTGCTAAAGCTTTGCTGAGCGGAGGAAGTGGTAGTGGTCGTGGAGGGACCCTTGCACGTGGCCTTGGAGGTCTCCTAACAGGAGGTGGACATGGAGGGAATCTTGGCGGACTTGTTGGAGGTCTTGTCAATCTTATAAGTGAAGCAGCAGCTCAGTACAATCCGGAGCCACCTCCACCTCCTCACAATCATTTTATGAATGTGGAAGCTTATGAGAGTGAGGAGATCAGACAGTTTCGTCGCCTTTTTGTCCAGCTGGCGGGAGATGATATGGAAGTGTGTGCCACAGAGCTAAGGGACATCCTGAACAAAGTTGTTTCCAGACATCAAGACTTGAAGACAGATGGCTTCAGCTTAGACACATGCCGTAGCATGGTAGCTGTCATGGACAGTGATACAAATGGCAAACTGGGCTTTGAAGAGTTTAAGTACCTGTGGAACAACATCAAGAAATGGCAATGTGTGTACAAGCAGTATGATACTGATCAGTCAGGCACTGTTGGGAGGGCTCAGCTGCCCAATGCCTTGAAGGCTGCAGGGTTCCACCTGAACGAACAACTCTGCCAGTTAATCGTGCGCAGGTATGCCGATGAGGACGGTACCATGGATTTCAACAACTTCATTAGCTGCTTGGTACGACTGGACAGCATGTTCCGGGCCTTCAAGTCCCTGGACCAAGATGGAGATGGACAGATCAAAGTGAACACTGAAGACTGGCTGCAGCTGACCATGTATTCATGAAGGCATAGAGAAGAATAAGCTTTGTCTGGGAGATATACATGGAAGACTACAATCCTGGAGAACTGTAGTCTTTTCCTTGTTCTAAGGCAGATGTAGCTAATGGTAGATAGCTCAGCTTAAAGTGTTGTGATTCCTCTTGTGCATGCATTAGTCTGCTTTTCTGAAGGGTTTGTGTAAGTTGTCAGTTGGATAGCTGCGTAAGTCTGTCTCGGAAAAACCATCTCTAGACTCTGAAGAGAGGGAATATGTTGAAGGATCAAAGCATACTTATTTCTTCACGTACCGTGGCTTGTATATAACTATTATATAAAAAGCTCGTACATTTGGTGTTGATGTTACTGTTCCGATTTGTCAGCATTCGCTAAGCTGGAATAAAGCTCTGTTTGCCTGAAGGCAATCACTAGTAATAGAGTTGTGCAGTTATTTCTAACAAGGGGAAAAGTACGAGAGTTGCAATAAATATAATGATCAATGAATTTACATGATCATATTTAATTTCCTTGTTACTTCTGCTTTTTCATGCTTATCTGCTGAAGCACAACCTGAATGGTATTGTCAGTTCTACCTGCTGACCAGGACAAAATTGCAGACTTATATGAGGATACTGTCACAACCTTTTTCTCCTTCCTACAATTCTATTAACTAGTCTTTTCTCTCTTTCCTTCAAGCCTTATTATAGTTATAATGAAAACAACTTAAAATACTACACTTATATTTAGAGAAGCTTGCTGTAATAATGCAGTCACATAGCAGACAGCCAGCCAAAATCAGCCTCTGGCTATCTGAGTTAAATTTGATCAGGGTGCAGTGTCCCACTCAGGCTAGTTATGCAGTTCTGTCTAAGATGTCAACTTTTGAGAAAAAGAAGAAGGAATAACATGAATGTTTCTTTGAATTAAGGACTACATAGTCAGGAAAACAGCTCTTGCACTGCAATGCAGGGCTCTGCTGCTTTAAAAGAAAATTGTCTAGGGTGTGTGCTAGCTGCCTGGAATGTGAAAGGATGAGTTGAGTGTAAGTCTCCAGATGTAAGAGTGCACATGCCCCTGCCCCTCCCCAGGGAGACATCAGTGACTAATTGAGAAATACCCCACAATACCTGCAGGGCATCTGAGTGCTGATGGGGTACTGTGGTTTGGTTTGTTTCTAAATTTCCATAGCTTTGATTTCTAAATCTTGCAGTTACACTTGGCAAAGAGCATTTTCCAAACTGATGAAATCTCCTCCCTGGTGTACTTGCAGAAGCCTTTTACTTGCAACTAGGAGAAAGTAACTTACAACTTTTTTAACTAGACTTTTTTCCTCCTGCATTTTGTTTAAAACCAAGCTGGGTGACAGAAACAGTAAAAATATTCATATTGCCCAAAATTGTGATGAAAGTGGTCAGTTCTTTCCTAATGGCATTCACCCCCCTCCCAGTTATTCAATGCAGAAGCACACAGTTATCCACAGTGACATTTGGGCTCTGAGTAATAGAAAAGTGAGCACGAGGGAAAGTGTGGTACCTCCAGGTGAGCACCATCCTACCAGGTTTTTTTCAGAATGTCCCTTTCTGACTAATTAGGACTTGCATGTAGCAACAGGCAGTGGAAATTTTGGAGTTATAGCAACAGCCTCTTACACGATGAGCCTGGATATGAACGCGAGAGGTGCATCTGCAGTTTTGAGGCAGTAGTACTTTAAACTTTATTGATTGCATCTATCTTCCAGTCCTTGTGCAACTCTAAATGGGGACTGCTTATAACAATGCAAACCTTCTTGTTTCCCAAAGTGTAAGATTTACTTTATTATATAAAAAAACACCAACAAAACTCTAGTTACCATAGCATGCTATAGTGAAAATACCAGCAGAAAACTAGTTTCCTTAAAGAAAACAAAGGTTGTGGAGGTTACAGTATGTTTTGATTATTTTATGTAACATAAATACAAATAGCCAAATATTGATGTTCTACTTTGCTATTTAGAGAATTGGAGCTCAGCTCACATGTTGCTTCCTTAAAATATTCTTGGGTACATAGGCTGCAAACACAGCTAGATATGCGTAGAATGACTTGCTTATTTGCAGTGGTGCTACACAAGCACTGAAGGTTTTCCTGCATTTTCAGTTTAAGTCCCATCTTTCTCCAGGCACCAACCCTATCATTTCTTCTTAACCAAAACACCAGAGCAATTGGAAGTTAGCCAGCATCCTAGGGTTTAGTAGAGCTAGTCACAACATGATCTTGCAAGCATAGTAACTTTATTTCCTACTCAAATGGCTGAAGTTCTGTGTATCAAATTGCGCTCAGTTTTGATTACTGGGGTTTAGCACTTTAATGAAAGTAATACGACCCTTAGTAGCTCTTGTCATTTTTCCATGTGCAGCCACAGCTGTGTTAACTTTTTTCAGAAGTTGTTTTTTAATGAGACTATTTTATTTAAAGTTTACTTCCCAATTCTTGTCCTGATACATATTCTTAACTTGAAAAATAAATTTAAAAAAAATTCTAATTGCATCAAACAATCCTTTGCTAAGAATACAGTCTATAAAAGTGTCCAAAAATAATATTCCATGCAAGTTTGAACAATTAGTAGCTACACTCTTGCTTCAGTTGTTTTAAGAGTTTACGTTTATAATAATACATTTTAAAGTTAGATCTGTTATCTCTACTATGAGAACTATGATGTAGCCAAAATATTTAAAGTCAAACTCTGCAGCACAATGAAAGCACAGATTTGTAAATAAAACAGCATTTATGAGAGAACATTGTCCTTTTCTAATGATTACAAACTGTCAAAAGTTATATCCCTTAGACACACAAGAAAGCAACTTAAAGACTATTCATATCTTTGATAAAAAGTTTCCCTAAAATTCACAGGTCTTTAAAGTATAAGATGTTCAAAGGTTGCACGTCTTCAAAAAAAGATTGGTTAGACCATCAATATAAAGAAAATAATAGTTATCTGCACAAATCAGTCCTGAATTGGTTTTGAAGGCTAAATAAAATTGCATCTTAGCAGTTATAAATCCTGTCAAATGTATAGCTTGAGAAAGAAAAGTTAGTACCGAACACATTATCACACATATTTTGTTAATCAAGGACTACCTAAAATTTAAATTCAATAACAGAAATCCCTATTTCATAGAACCCAAGATTTTCAAAGTGATCTACAGAGCAGCCTTAGCATTTCTCCACTGGCAAGCTCCATATTCTGCTATTCATCAGCAGAAACCCAAGAACAGAAAGGTTAAGGTTGGTATGCTCATGTGAGCATTGGAAGTTGGTAGGAGAGCTAGAAATAGAATCTACATCTGGCTGTTCGCTACAGATTTACCCAGGAGACCATCCCTCTCTCGCTTGGCTGAAGTTTTGTGCTGTTATCAGACTTAGCGAGTCCACTTTTTAAAAAATCTTTTTCTTCTTGAAATGTACAGCATATTATCCACAAAGGGTACTCCGTTTTATGCTTTTGTTTGCTTTTGAAATGTTTTTGTTGAATGCCCTTATTGTGAATGTTCCAAACTATGAGCTACTAGTCATCTCTACAATGCTTTCATTAACTACTCCATGTCCCATCACCTAACGCTTATATGTGGCTTTTCCCCAGACAGGATGTTTCTCAAAACCGTCAAGAAACTTTCAGTGTGGTCACAGGAACAGTATTGACTTACTTAAGCATATATTTCAACAGGCATCTGCCATTTTCCCTATCTGCAAATATAATGCAGCTTACATAGAATTAATCATGAATCCCATCAAAGCAAGCTTCACATGTTTTGTTGATGTAGCTTTGTAGTTAACACAGTGAAATGTTCGTTCAGATCAAAACTGGAATTATCAGAGAGGCTGCTACAATGAATTCATTGTGTTTCTGGCTTAAAAGGTAGGACAGTGTATTAGCTTCAAAATACCATGTAGGGCAATGCATTTGCTTCAAAGAAAAGCTTAAGATAGACCATGTAGATTTACTGCATCATCAGGCTGTACTTTTGCTAGCATATATTTTATTGCTGAAGGTTCTTAGAAAGAATTAACTCAAGGCAACAGCCTAAATGTTGGCCTGTTTATTCTAGGATGTTGCATTGGTCTCTGAACTTTAGGAAGTGCCAGCGCTAGATGAATTCCAATTCCAATTGACTCTTGTTAGAGGCTTCTCAAAGGTCATAGACTAAAGAAAAAACTTGTAAGTCATTTTAAATCTTTTTTGTTGGAGTGTTTATAAGATACAAATTGATACCAAATTTCTACCTATTGAAAATACGATTATTGCTACTTCAGCCATAGTATTACATATATTTTGCGAGCTGTTAGTACTTTTTCCAGGAAGAACAAATACCTCTAGTGTTGTAAACTGTCTTAGTGCATGTTGTATAGTTGATTTACACAACAGCTTTTAAAGTGATTTGCAATATTAACTATAACTCCTGCCGTACATATTTTGGTACAGAATGGAGATGGCACCATCGACTTCAGAGAATATGTAATTGGTTTGTCTATTCTTTGTAACCCAGCCAACACAGAAGAGACTATTCAGATGGCATTTAAGGTAAGTTCAATTTAGTGTAAATCTACAAACCTGACAAATCAAGACTGACTGTAAATCTGTTAGCTTTCAAATCATAAGTTTATAGCTTCAATCTGTTATGCGAATGTGAGTAATACTCTTAAACCAATTGACATTTAGAGTGTGAAGGGGAGGGGGAGAATTGCAGGCATCATAGAAAAGGGTTTCAAAAGCCATGTGAAGGCACTAATGAATATGTAACTTGGCAGGCTAACTCCAAAAATGATTCAGCAGCACTCGCAGTTTTTTCGCCTGAGGTTTTTTTCTGCTGTGATTCTTCAATGTCACAAGTAGACAATAGATGGAGCAATATCCTCTTGTGGGTCAAGTGCTCAGTAGAGTCACTGTTGTTAACAGAGTGGGGGGAATCAGGAAGGGCTATTCAGGCCTAGCACATCCAAAATTGGGCTGCATCTAAGATCTATTGGCTTGCACTATGGTGTCCTGATACTACAAGCGGCCAAGGAGCAGTAGCTCCTTTCAGATCTCAGGTACAAGCAGGCAACATGTCACCAGGGATGCCAAAGTTGTGAGGTCCTGAATAGGAAAATGGTCGAGTGACTTTTTTTTAGTAGATCTTTAACACAGATGCAGTTATTTTACCCACTAATCTGTTCTTAGGAACCATACTGAACAATATATTGAGATATAGACCATGTTCATCTTAAACTGGGTATTTTTTAATACTAATCTGTACTTGGGAAGTACCAGAATTTTTATGGCAAACCATTATATCCACTGGCTGCTCTACAGATAAGCACTACAGCTGTTCAAAGTGATTTGTGTTTTTACAGGGATGTTTTATCACTACAGATTCCTATGAAGAAGCAAGCCTAGCAGCTATTGTTGCTGTTTCATTGTTTTGTTTTCTAGACTATACTCTTCAGTATCTTAACAGTAGCGCTGATTATAAAATTAGTC